AATTCTATTTTCTTATGGTTATTATGACGAGACCTAATGGCGTTGTTTAGTTCGACAAACGACTTTAACTCAAAGTTTTCTACGACCTCATGTACCTATGAAATGTCCGTATTCAAGACTTCGGGTCGACGAGCTACGTGTCGGCCGGTGACCAGTAGTCGAAGCCTGCTGATGTCTTAACAGTTGTAAATGTTAAATGATTGCTAGAGGAGCAAGGCTGTGTCAGCTCGCGACGCTGTCCAGTTCTCATTGAAACGAACTTAGAACATCGAAATATTGCTGGTAATTATACATACGTAAATAGCATGACCCAGATATGTTCTTTGCGTACCCGGTCGAAAACATTCGTTCGACGGCATTCAATTCCGACGTCAACTCAGATATTTTTTTTGCCGTGATGTAAAAGTTGCCGCAATCATTGTCGATTATGTTTACGTTAGACGAAACATGTTAGTCTTTACAAGGAGTACAAAGTGGTACCCAGGTATATGGTGGACCGGCAGTCACGTAGTGGTAAATTAGTATGGAGCAAACTCTCACTGACAACAGAGGTTATCAGTGTCCTGTCACCTTATGACACTACATAAAAATACTATACTACAAAGGCTATGCTACTTAAGAGTTGTCAAAGTAAAAATAAAATAATGTAAATAAGCCGTTTCATCTCTTTCTGTCAATTATTCCGACCTTGATTATACTACTACATAAAATGTTTTGTGACGTCTAATCGACACCCATTGCGCGCGTCGAGCAGAGATTCGTGTGCATATATCATTTGATATATTAACTAAGGAGTGAACCCTTGTTTCACTGATAGAATATTACAATGTGTAACAAATTTAATAAAGGAAAATCGAGTGATATACACACAAATTATCAAAGCTTGTAATGATTAAATTATGTATCGGGTTCACCCCGTTACACTTCGGGCCGTTATGGGGATAGATTCGCTTCATTTGGTGCCAGTCTCGTTCAGGTATTAAGTTTACTACATATGCATGTTGACATTTATATTTGCTTACTTAAGTGTAACGGGCTCACCCAGTAAAAAACGCTACAACTAGCTTAAGTTAGTGAAACTCCAATGCTAGGTTTAGGACGATCACTTGACGCGACATTGGTGGGAAGTTTGGGATCGAAATGACTACTAAATGGCATGCTGACAAGCCTTCGAGAGTAGTGTAGTTATTAAGATTAAGTGAGCGAAGGGTATGTCATGGACATGCATGAGGAGAAGCGTGCCTATACTATGCTTCAAGTAGACCGGTAAGATAGGATACCAGTACGTGCATTTCGTAAGCATGCTGTAGCTCGATGGAAATGTGTGGCATCCATATCCCAGACGTCACCGGTTCGATACCCGGCAGTGAAAGTTAAACCTTAGGGTACTGGTGTTTGGGGTTCACCAGCACTGTCCTGCCAGACAGTGACGTCCCCATTTTTGTGCTCAGTGGAAAAGATGTCCACATCAGAGAAACCGTTATTTAATGAAGGAACATGAGAAAGGAACGTCATGATTGATTGGGCAGTCGTAATGAAGAAGTGTATCAGAAAGATGAGTAGCAACGGTAGGAACTAGTTACGATCGTAGGATAATTCAATTTGGTTTTGCTGATTCGAACAAAAAGTGTTCTTCACTTTGACGCTCCGCTACCTTTGAAAAGTAGAAACTCCCATATTCCTTGTCATTGATACACTTATTGTGGTGGAGCATGACTACTCGCTCTCGATTCTCATGTTTGCTTACCTATAGAGGCAAGTCTTTTGCCCATGGCGAGCTCTTCGGCAGTTTCTACAGGTTGCAATCTGGTGACACACGAATCACTCAAGAGCAGCTCAATAGCTGTGGTTTACCTCCTAGGCATATCGAAATGGACGTGACGGGGCACGCAAATGTAGTGATCATAAGCAACGACAATGACGGACTGTAGTAGGATAGTGCGGGCTTTACGAAAGTAGAAGCATCAAAAATGCGACATTTGGCTTTCATACTTGCGTGTAGTGAGAGTGAGCCGTTCAAGGAGCTCTATTTGAGCTTCTTTTCTTTTACGCGCTAAAGTTGGCACAAGCATAAAGATAAAGGAAACGTATGGTCATTGACACATTTGAGTTTCAAAGTCGAAATGGACTCTGAGTTGCATCGCGGTTATCAGTGAGTGAGAAAATGAGGTATATTAAGATACGCTTACGACCTACTATGTCCGGTCACCCGGCAACAATGTTACCGGGGTGACTGCTACTTTATATACTAGGTAGCACTAGGTCTCGAACAGGAGAAAGCCTGCGCGCAGACTCCTGTTGAAAGAATATTAGGTCCTCGGTGCCAGTACGAAGCCCTCTATGATGTATTGTTCGGCCTGAGAGGTCTCCAACCAATGATTGACATCAGAATCAAGGAAGGTCGTGGCCTTCGGACTATAACGGGATTAGAAGAAGCGTGCGATTGAACCGAATACCCTGTGTCCAGAGCGATATTCGCCAGTCGATCCGCCATTTTATTGTAGGTGCGGCAATTATGTCCCCAGCTGGAGATATGTATATCATTAGCGATGTCCCTTGCTTCGGTGAATAACTGCATTAAGTGATGCTTGAGTGGAGGATGTCGTATTCGGAGTTTTGATAAAAAAAGGGCATTGTCTCCAATGACATGCAGGGGTGAGTAGTCGCTGTCCTTTTTCTCACCGAAGACCGTGGACGAGCCCCAGTATTCATCGATAGTGATAGTAGTATCGGCAGCGGCATAGGCCACGCTCGCTATCCACAAAACGCATGCGGCGTGCGTCGGAACGTAGATTCGGACAATAACAGATCCAGCCCGCCTGGACCTGAATTTTCAGGGGACCTCCATCATTAGGGGAGGTAGAGCACCCTGGGAACCGTTCGATAGGGCGTACGTGCAGAAAAGGAGGTTCATCGTAGCAGAGGAGGGTATCAGCCAAGGCCGACCTTTTGCCCGTCCTCCCCCCATGCCGGGCTGGTAGGTTGATTCACGAAACCTTCGAACCGACCGCAAAAGATTGCCTTGGCCCTAGCTGTGTGAACATCCTGTGATAGAGACGGGCCTTCCATGCGGCGTAAGCGCTCGAACCAGATGGCATGAAGTTTCGTTGATACGAGAAAACGCCACAGCTCTCTAGATGCCGGAAAGACCGCAGCCTAAGCTTTTAATAAATCTGCCCCTGTGATTATAAATTGCTTAACAACAACCCAGGCGTTAGCGGACTCGTTAAGAGCCATAGATTGCTTGACAACAACCGAGGCGTTGGGCGGAATCCCCGTGAGGTCCAGTACAAACAATTAGACATGCAAGTCATCCCTCCTGGAAAGAACCGATCCATCACCACCGATGAAGGAGGTATACCCAGAGTCGACGCGCGCTAGGGCATGTACAGAATATATGTCTTGCCAGAGCTGTACCAGCATGCACACACTCAAGAACGGGCACGATAGATCTCGCTTCGCCCAATTCTAGAGCGAGAAACTGTTGCTCTTTAGTCGATATATCGTCTGAGCGTTGGTCGGAAAGGACGCACGAATTAGTCTTATATATCTCAAAGTAGTTAATGGTAAACCTTCCGATATCCCGTGAAAGTTCGCCTTTGCAACCCGTTCCTCGAGAAGTCTAGTTCCTTCAAGATAGCGCCGCCGGGAGACAAGCTGTTTGAGTTTCTTTCGATGTAGCCGCCACCGTCCACGACCGGCCCACAGGACGACAACCCGCGCAAAAACCGGATGCGCGCCAAAGTGGACAGGAGTCCCACTGGATGAGGACGCGGCGATATCGCACGCCGTCATCGACGAGACGGGTTGCAACCCACATTCCATACCCGTATCGAAATGCAGGAGAGATGCACCTTCACAGTAGAAGCCAGTCATGGAATTGATGGTCCTAAATTGAGTACGAAATTAGGGATCCAGGTTCCAGCACCCGATAGACCAGAGACGGGAAATTGTAAAGAAGTGCGAGACAGAAGGACCCAAAATGCCGTCTCTTTGCCATAGACTGGGTCGCTATGTTTTGCGTGGGAGAGAACAAGACAATGCCAGTCTGCAAAGTCGTCCAATACATTGCCTCGTCTAGCAAAGTCAAACCCATGGCAAAGGCAGCTCCGTTCAATGTGTAAGCCGTAGCGCGTCGATCTCTCAGCCACGACGTATCCTTGAGCGTAGCGTGGACAAGCCATCGGAGATCAAATCGCCCCGACGCCGCAACCTCAACACGCATCCCGGAGCGCAGTCGATCATCAAATACCCGCCGAACATCAACGGTGACACTACCGTCGTCATTATAGGCTACCGCAGCTCTCGATGTAAAAGAGACGGCTCGTCTGCAATATTCCCTGACCGCGTCTTGGGGAGCGTGCCGAGAAGCAAAAACTCCAACAATATCGGACCCGGTTTGCTATAGAGTTGCTCGATATCGAGGATTCTTGTCTTCAGTCCAACAAGGCGTGATGTGAGCCGGACCTGACCCGCTTGATCCCCACAAGTAATTACCAAGCAGTCAGTCCCTCGAAGAAAGATTAGATGCACAATATACAATTGCTGTATCTGCCATAGGCATTAATCATCGCGGTCATCAGTACAGTGGCTGACGAAGCCGTCGCATGTTTTTCGTCTTCTTCAATCAGCTCTTGGTTGCTCAAGATTTGTACATCGCCCGTACAGTAGAGGGCGCTCTCGATTGAGTGAGAGAGGATATAAGTTTTTAGCTTACGATCGTTGTCGGTGTGATGTGCCAGCAGCATGTAATGACACAGAGAAGTGATGACGCGACAAGCGGTTGAGGAGGGCGTCGTGCAGGCCTCCTAAAGTTATGCGTATGCATAAACTACACAAACCAAGTTAATTTATGCACGCCACTGACATTAATTTATGCATAGCAAGTTTTGACGTACTTTACTGCAGCAAAGCGCACTGCTTCGCTTGGAAAATTACTTCAAGCGAAAGATGCATCAGGTCCGTCCTGTTCGAGTCCGCCTCCCATTTCAGAATTGAAAAATATGATTCGACCGAAGTCGTGTTCGGAAAGACGGTCGCCAGTCCACCGCAAAACGTGCGCAGTCGCAGATATTTGCCAGGCGCCACGTCCCAGGCGTCGTCAAAGGTTGTCTTGACATCGTGCTCGTCGATGGCACAGCGCAGGATGGGAACGTTCTTGTAGACGGCGAACATCTGGCGATGATCCTCCTCGACCTGGTCGATGTCCTCAGCAGACCAGAAGCGTAGAATACGATCACGGTGCGGGTCCAGCACATCGCGAATGAAGTGGGCCGGCCGAAGTCCGATCAGTTCACCAGGTAGATTCGGTGGCGACACGATCACCCGCGGCAAGTTGTTGTCGTCGCTCTCTGCCCTCACGGCTTGCAGGTCTATACCAGCGTCTCCGCATAGGCCACGATCTGCTTCAGGACGACAGCCTTCTTGGCCTCATCTAAGCGCAGCAAGCAATCACGAGCCATTGATCCCTCTTCCTCGATCAGGGTGACGAGATGGCCGGTCCGGACACGCATTGCCTTAAACCGCACGAATTCGTTGTCCTCCTCCGCGTCGGCATCGTCCTGATCGATGAGTTTGAGTTCGAACATGGTTTTGATCGTGGCGACAAGTACCATGATGTGGGCCTCTTGCTGCGCCAGTGTGGAGAGCAGAGACCGGTTCTGCAGCAGGGCAAATGTGATGTTGATCGCGTTAATGGCCGGCGCGGTAGCTTAGGTCACGGCCCACCACGATTCAGTCGGCAGCATCCCGGCGTGATTCTCCTCGGCGAATGTCATCAGCCTACGCCGGTTCTCCTTTAAAAATTAAGCACGTTTCCGAGGTGCACCCAACGGTTCGTCTTATTGGGGCACTTGACGCCCATTTCGATGATCAGATTGTTCTGAGTGCGCAGGTAGACGGTGTAGGAATATGCAAACTTTATCCACGCCCCGCCGTCGATTCCGTCGGCACTCTGCTTGGCAATGATGTCGATCTGGTGGGGAGCGCACCATACGCGCATGACATTGTACTCGGCGGCCGACACAGGCTCGTGACGAGGTCGCGGTGGCTCCCGGTCATCGTATTCTCGCCGTCGCTCGACACGCCGATCAACTTTGCCCGCCAATTCGGGAAGAGCGCGTCCATGAGCTTGGCAATAATGTTGAACATATTCTCGGCGGTGTGGCGGTCGAACATGGGGAGCGCGAACAGATGCAGGTTGAGGAGCCGGCCGTGCCAGTACAAGCGTATGCGTATGTCGAAGAACGAATGTCCGCGGTGTGTGCTGACGTCACCGGCCAAAGAGAACGCCCAGACCTGGTCGTCGTTGCTGAGCATGTCGGCAATAAGTTGCAGCGCGACTGCTACTTGCACCCGGACGAACTTGCCGACTATGAAGTCGTTGATGCCGGCCAGCTTTGGCAGTTGGGCCCGGTTTTTGGCGTGTCCGATTGCGAGAGCCGTCTGCTTAAATGAAATTCCTGCACTAATATGATCAATTACTAGATGAAATCGCATCGGATTCTTGATCGTCACTGTGTACGACGCCGCCCCCTCCGCTGCTAGCTCTGCCGGCTTAAACAACAACATGGCGTGTTTCTTCTGCTTGGCTAGCTTGACGATTCTGTGGAACGCTGCTGACGCCACGTCCTCTTCCTCTTCGTCGTCGCTGTGTGCCTCGATCGCGTCGGTGTTGAAGAACAGCTCTCCGATGATCGTCTGAACGATGGGCGCATTGATCGTGTACTCGATCGTGTCACTGGTCGGGTCCATGTGGATGTGCAGTGTGTTGGCGCTTTGGACCTTGTCTTTGATGTACGTCATCTTCGCTGACGTCGAGCACTGCTGGTACGCAATCCATGATTCCTTGTACTGCCCGTTAAGGTGACTTCGGTAGTTTAAAGTGGCGAACGGTTTCGTAAAATACTTGGTGTCGTCGCGCTTTTGCGCTTCCGGTTCCTCCCTCGTTGACCGTCACCTGGTCACGGCCCTCGAAAGCGCAGAAGTTGCACCGCACCGTGGGGTTGCCGTATTTATCCCGGGAGACAATCTCGAGACCGAACTCCAGGCAGTGCTTGGATTGGAATGGGGTGAGCGCGGCGGCTTCGGAATGGGCACGGGTGGCGGGTTAAGTCAGCTAAATGAGCAGAACGTGGGTGGTCGGCGGACTCGGCGCGGAACGGCGCACCACCAAAAATATCTTAGTTTATGCACGTCGCGGTCCTAAACTTATGCATATGCATACCTAATTTAAGCTTATGCAGTAATCTACTGAGGCCTGGCGTCATGTCATCGGCATTAACCAAAAGCGTGGTAAAGGGTTGGACATTGCTGACGAAGATGATCGACTAGCAGCGTTTCCTGGGGAGAAAACACGCAGCAACCTGAGCAAAATGACAACACAATGCCGTAAGGCTTGCAGTGCTCCCGTGTATAGTGCAAAAAGATGTCTATCTGCTAAACTTGGCACCAAAATGGCCAGCGGCGACACCTTCTCAGCCGTCGGAATCGAAAGCTGACTCATACTTGTCACATGCACATCTTCTTCTACCCAAGCTGTCGATGCAGTGCAAGTCTGCTCTTCGGTCACAACGGCCGTGGCAGTGATGGCTATGCCTTGTCGTATCACCGTGTGTATGTGAAAACGGGCACACGCATGCAGAGGACAGCTATTCCATCGTGAACGTGCGCACGCATGTGCATACCTGGGAGAGAGGAGACTGCGACTATCGACAGAGAACAACACCCCTGTCAGGAATTCAACACATCTGTATTTGCAGTTTAGCCGTGATCATCTACAGCTTCAGCGCTTTTGTGAACTCCGTGCGTCATCAAAACGCCGCCTTCACTCGACCGTTCTGCTCAGCTGAGTTCGGGACACCGTCGTACGTGTCCTCGGTACCAAAGTAGGTGGCCGCGAGTTCAGATGACACCTTCATGTCAAAGGCGGGCATTTCGCCCACGCAGGACTTGTCCACGCGTCTCAGGTTCGCGTTGTTTGCAACGTACGAGATGAGCAATTCCATTCCGCAGTTCTTGCCATCGTCTCCAAACGGTGTTGCTTCAACTGTCGCCGCCGGCGAGTAGTCGAATGTAACAAGTTCCTTCTTCGACGTATTGAGCGTCTCGAGCATAGTCCTGGCGTGCTTGATGTGATTCACTGGGTCCAATCTTCCGTGCATCAGTAGCACGCTGGCGTGGCTGGGGACCGTAGCACGCTTGGCCCAGTACTGGTCATGCGGGTATAGCAGGGGGTCGGCTTCGTACTGAGCCACACCTACTTCCTCGCACGCCGGCGACCGCTCTTTCGAGTATTGACAAAAGAAGGGGACCATGCAGGCAGTCTTAGAGTCCGACATGCTCAGGGTCTCGAAGCGAGCTTGCAGGTCGGCAAAAGTTGGCGAAGGTGTCTCCCACATTTCGGAGAGCAGAACCAACAGTGAATGCACGTACGAATTGAGAGACCCGCTCTCGACGAGTGCCGAATTCTTTGTGCGGGAGGCCGCGAAGAATGTCGTCAAGACGTCCACGTCGTTGGCATCGCATCGATTGAGCCTGTGCACCACTGGTGGAATCATGGACCGCGCGCCCGCGTCCACCAAAAGCTCGCCCAGTGTGAATCGAAGGCCAGCAGACGGATCTTCCCCAGACGCCTTCGCGACCATCATAGCACAGGTCGAGTTTGGATTGCTGTCGAACTTTTTAAGGACGTTGTGGAGCGTGGCGGACAAGCTGGTGGCTTTGAAGTGAGAAGCGCAGCCCCGGTCTTGCGCGCACAGCTTCATAAAACGATCACCCACGTCACTAAACTCAGCATCGTACTGGGTATAGTAAGACTTCTTGGCCGGTACGACCGACGAGGCGACGCTACTGTCCAAAACATATCCGTTCACGCTCGACGGGTTTAACTGCATCAGACGCTGGACCGCCGACGTTCCGAAGCCCACGCCGTATACAATCGTGTCCGCGTCGTTTGTGTGCTTGGCAATGAAACTGGAAATGTCCATAGCAGCGCTCGTGGTCGAGAACGAGGCGAGGTTTCCATACTTTTTATGCAGCTTTTGAGCACAAGCAGGAACCTCCAAATATATCGCGTCGCCATCAGGCTGGGTCTTGATCGTCGGGTTCTCACCTGACTCGCAATGAAGCAGTGTACTGCGTCCAGTGCCACGGACGTCCATCGTGTACACGTTGACTGCTCCATCCAGACTCTTGTGTAGCGTCACCATCGACTGCTCCACTGCAACATGATGCAAATGGGTCATCAATTAGTGCCAACTCATATCAGAGTACATCCACAACCTTCCCATACCTGCAGTGGACTCGGTCCCTGAGATGAACCACACGTTCGCGGCGTCATCCGTCTTAGCTCCCTTCGCACGCAACCGCTTGACGAAGACGTCGATCGTCGGCTTTACACCCGCAGGTACCTTACAGACACCAGAGTGACACAACGGAGCCTCGTAGGTCACGCACTCGGCTTCGTAGTCGTCTTTGCCGGGGGAGGTGTACGCCGGGCAAGGTTCCCATCCAGGAAACGAACGACTCAGAGTGCTGTTGAGAGCGGCCGAGCCTTGGCCGACCCATCCGGCCGCGAAAATGCTCAGCGCGTAATGAAGACGCATCGTCACGTGTGACACTGTTGTCGAGACCCGTGAAATTGAGATGTGATTCTTGTGTCCGCACGCCAAAGCGCGGGCTGTGCGTGTGCACTGTGCGTGTGCACTGTGCACTGTGCACTGTCGCCGACAGGAATATCTGGTCTCGTATTGAGACATGCAATCGATCGCTTCCTGCGAAACAGAGCCGCGTCGTGAATAGTTCCTCACGCCCAGCTGGGTACCAACGGCAAGTGCTGTGCATCCAAAGACGAGCACGCGATTGTTGCATCGTAAGCTCTCGATTTAGAGACATGCTCTCATGCACGAGCTGCCACGTAGCGGGTAAGAAGGAACCAGGTAGATGTAGAGCTGGTCGGTCACGATCCAACGATGCGATGGGATGCAGAGGGAAACGAGCCAAGCTCTTTAGCACACCAGCTGACGATCGGAATCTCTTCTTGTTGTCACGACGGATGTGACCCCATCTCTAGAGCCGTTGGCAGCGCTATCGAGAGAAACAAGAGGATAAGGATATGGCGACTGCTTTCCGGCTGTCAAAACGTCCGAGCGTCGATTTGAGCACGCATGTTGCACTGGCCAGTTTGGCGCTGCAGATCTGAAGTGCGTTCCTCACACGCCTTGCTAACCCACCTGACGTTCAAGCGTTTATAGCAACACACTGCTTATACAGAGAAGAAAGGTTTGAGGTATAATCGCTGCGAACGAACTACTATATCCAGCATTGTTGACCTATCTCCGGCGATGTGTCCCGTACCGCTCATTCATTCGCCTCGCGGCATCGATGCCAGGGCGTTTCCACTCGGCCACCGGGTTCAGCGCCAACATTGCCTACAGTAAGTGAGATATAGTAAGCAATCAATATGTGCTAAGCCGTAAGGAGACGCAGTTCATTGGCCATGAACTCGGCCACTACTTTGACACCTTGCAGCGTTTTGTTTACAACGTTTCACGTGCTAGTTGGTGAGACCGACGTCTCTCGATGTCATGAGCTACTACGCGTGTGACATCGAGCGATTCACGTCGATGCGATGAAGAGACATGTAAATTAGCAACAGATGGGGCAACAGATGTCGCTTCATCTCAGACGAACTGAATGAAGAGGAGTAACAGGCTGTCTATCACCTTTACGGTTCACAAGATTGCTAAAAAGTCTCTGGCCGCTCTAGCACCCCTACCAGTGGTGATCACTACATTCCACGATCATTATTGCGCAAACGGCGGCTGAG